TCTCTAAATGGGAACAATTGCTTTATTTAATATTTTGATATCACAAATTTAGCGGGCTAAGGGCTCAGTCAAAAATGCAGTCAACCATGTATTAATGTAACCGGAGATAATAAAGACAATCTTCTAGTTCATTCTTTTATTATCGAAGACATACAAAAACGAGCCTATAAGAACGAAAGTTTGAAAGTCGCCATATGACCTCTATTATATTGCTGCAACTTTAAGCGCAAATTTAAGAGTATGCGCCGACATAACGGAGCTTCTATCATCTAATTCGAAAAACAAACTTAAGTTTTTAATTATATGCATATTAAAGGGACTCCACTGAGGTTTAAAAGCCTAAAAACATAACATTTAAATTTCTTACATAAATGAGCTGGGACACTTTAAACAGAACTATATGCAAAGATAGATAAGAAAATACTTTGAAATAAATTGAAAATCGTAGTTTTAGCTTTTCTTAGCACGATTTAAGTGAAAAGCGTTAAAACGCTTTTCAATTTTGGTGATTTTTTTACAATTTGAACAATTATTCTGGAAAAATGAAGTGCGTGAATGAGCTGAAATTTTGCATAGAGATTAGTGGTTTAAACCTATATCAAATGGTCCATTTATCTGGAAAAATATCTTCATTCCCATCATGTCAAAAAGCCTTAGTGGAGTCCTTTTAATGTCTGAGAGAAACCAGATATAATCAACATTGAAAATTAGCTATAGCAGAATATTTCTCAATAAATTTCATTTATAAGAGATTTAAATGAATAAAATCATTTTACTGCTGAACATTACTTTAAGATTAATATTAAACAGGATTTTGTGCGGTGACTATCTTCGTTTATTTTTTTTTTAGCGGTTTTTGTAACTATTACAATAATTTTAATGTTTGATTCTATTATTTATTCCTTTTTCTCAAAAATTGATACTTAAAACACTTAATTCAAAAGCCATAAATAACTTAAAATGGAACACTATTAACTTTTGACACTTAAACTTTAAAAATTTAAATATCTAAATAACTTAATTTAATCATTCTTAGTATCATTATTTTATTGTAATGCTTATCTATATTTATAATTTTGATATATAAATATATTTCTCTATTAATTCATCATTCGATTTATTTATATTTACATATAAAACATTTGTTAAAATTAATTCGTGAAAAATTACTTCAAACTGAAATTGATAAGTATTTTGATATCACACAACTTCATTCAAATAGTATAAACTTATTTCTGAATAATCTCAGGGAAGGGCCCACGATAATGTTGTTAGAACTTTTGGCCCAACCTTTTTTGTATGTACACTTGATTATGTCTGTAAAATTATGAAATTGTATATTGTGTGTATATTTATACATATATTATAAAACTAATACATTTCACGGAATTAGAATAAACGTGTAAACTTGTTCCTTTTTGGGGAAGGGGAGGAAACTGGCACAATTTCAAAAGTAAATCTTACGTATGAATAATTTGAGCCGCGTCACGACAAAACCAACATACTGCGTTTGCGACCAGCATGGATCCAGACCAGCCTGCGCATCCGCGCAGTCTGATCGGGAACCATGCTGTTCTCTACTTGTTATAGGGTTTGTAAGCAAACAACATGGATCTTGATCAGACTGCGCGGATGCACAGGCTGGTCTGGATCCATGCTGGTCGCAAACCCATTATGTTGGTTTTGTCATGGCGCGGCTCATTTCATTGACAGCAGGTTTAAGTTGTGCTTTTTTTATTTATTAATATTAGTATTACTATTATTCAAAGAGGCGCTTGATATTTATACAGGTCTTCCATTTAGATCGCATTTTACGAAGTCGATCATTTAAATGTGAGTAATACCTTGACAGTTTGCTACACCTACTGATACCTATTCATAACACGGATATACAAAATTGCTTCATTGTCATTAATGGGTGTAAGATAACATAAGCTAAGACAAGATTAGTTTAGCATAATGTATTAGGTTTGACACTGGTGTGAGTTAAAATCAAAGTTAATGTTTCTATTTATGACGGAACTTATTGTTAGTTTTATAATGCAATCTATAATAGATTGCGGCGATATTAACATATTTCTCTTGTATGCCAGACTGGTGTTATAAAAAACATCGAATTGGGCAATGATATTTTACTGAGTTATTTAGCTCATGCACGAAATATTATGTTGCAGTAGCGTTCTGAAGCCTTTCTTCGGTTTCGCGAGATGCCAGTTTTTGCAACGCTACTCGTAGTATAATACATGACCTTAATAGCTACTTAGAAAGCTACTACAACATGATTATCCTTTTAATACATACCTATAAGTTTTAAGAAAATAGTCCGTCACATCCTTATATGGTAAGGTATTTGTCACTAACAAAATAGAGTTTTCTAGCCCTTGAATCGGCATAGCGCTTCATAATTTTTGTGTATTTTAGGAATAAATTGTATAATTCATTTACATATCATTAAAGTAATATTATAAGCAGAGATACCGATGGACCCTTTACTTTAAATGAGACAACATGATAATCGATAGCATACTCGACTTTTTCAGGGAAAGATATTGCAGTTAATTAATGATAGTCCGCCCGCTAATGGAGAGCACCTTATTAGTAATCCAGGGCTCACTGGTTCGATCCTTGGGCGTGGCGTTATTTTTCCATGATATATGATCCCCAATGGTCATTTGTTTCTCATCGCTGATACAAAAAAACATCTTAGATTAGTTATCGGTCAACTGACAAATTTATTTATTATTCTTTTGAACAATTAAACATTACAGAATTGTATAGTAGTGAAAATACATCTCATTTACAATGGTACAATAGAAGAATAGAAATAGATTTTGTTTTAATGTTCACGCGATTCTAAGATATTATTGAGCATTGCAAGATGTTTGAACATAAATATTTGACGTATCAATTAAGAATCGACACACATACGTAAATCATTTAAATCATTATTTTATGTGCTAATATATTGAAGGTTGAAGCATTATGTGAAGATCAATCATCATATTTCCAAAACCTGATCTACGTGAAATAAATCACATTTACGAGAAAAAGTCATGAAATTCTATCCATGCGTTAATGGAAATTCTTACATGTAGTAAAAAAGTAAAAAATCTAGAACTTGCAGTATAAAAGCCTAGATGATAGATGAATACGTTTGCTAATTTACTTGAGCCGCCAGCAGTTATAGGTAAGTTGCTTTGATTCTAACCAAACACCTGACTTATTTCTTTATTATTCAGATTATATTTCTTTATATTACTGCTTTGTACATATTTGTTATTGTGTCATTCGATTCAAAGTATCCAAATGCTAGAAGTTTCAGTGACTAGTTAATTGCCGTACTTTAGCGTTCCTAATATACAACAAATATATTTGTCTTGTAAAATTTGATAGCTACTGTATAACTTTTTAGGACCTCGTTTTCATCAAATCTGTTTGGGGGAAAATGGGTCGAAATTGATAGTGCCACAAATTCAACTAAAGAAACTGAGCGCGAAGATGTTAAATTAGGAAAACTGCAAAAACTTAGCTAATAAATTGAAAATGTATGCCTCATTAAATGGAATTTTCTTGGACTGTTTTCTATCATTTAGATATTCAACGATGCAACCAAAATTGGTGATTGCTATTGTTTTGCTGCTTGGAACAACACAGAGTCATGGCTTCGGATTTTTCAAGCACTATTTAGCAGCAAGAAATAATGAAGGAAGGCCTCCTCCGATGGATAGCCGTCGCAATGGCTTAAGTGACCGCTTCGACAACAATTTTGATAATAACTATCGGATTAGGGATAATGGTGGCTATAGTTCTGACTTGGATCTCGGATATGGAAATGTTGACAATGGTAATGGTCGTAATGGAGTAAATCGTATAAATACCCGGAAAGGTTATTATTATCATCTTCTATACAAACTAAATCATGTAGGCGGTTTCATTAAGCGTCATCTTCAGCGTAAGATTGGCGCCGTTCACAGTGGCGATTACGATAATGGTGATGAACGCAGTGGCAGAAATGGTCATTTTGGCCGGAGAGACGACGATAATGATGATCGCAATGGCAGAAATGATCGTGACGACTGGAGAGGCGACGATGACGATGATCGCAATAACAGAAACGGTCGTGACGACTGGAGAGACAACGATAATGATGATCGCAATGGCAGGAATGATCGGGACGACTGGAGAGGCGACGATGACGATGATCGCAAAGGCAGAATTGGTCATTTCGGCCGGAGAGGCGAGATGATAATGATCGCAATGGCAGAATTGGTCATTTCGGCCGGAGAGACGACGATGACGATGATCGCAAAGACAGAAATTATCGCTTCGGCCGGAGAGGCGACGATGATGATGATCGCAATGGCAGAATTGGTCATTTCGGCCGGAGAGACGACGATGACGATGATCGCAATGGAAGAAATTATCGCTTCGGCCGGAGAGGCGACGATGACGATGATCGCAATGGCAGAATTGGTCATTTCGGCCGGAGAGACGACGATGGACGATGATCGCAATGGAGCAGAAATTATCGCTTCGGCCGGAGAGGCGACGATGATGATGATCGCAATGGCAGAATTGGTCATTTCGGCCGGAGAGACGACGATGACGATGATCGCAATGGCAGAAATTATCGCTTCGGCCGGAGAGGCGACGATGACGATGATCGCAATAGCAGAAATGGTCGTTTCGATTGGAGAGACGTCGATGATAAAGATCATAATGGCAGAAATGGTCATTTCGGCCGGAGAGGCAACGATGACGATGGTCGAAATGGCAGAAATGGTCGTTTTGACAGGAAAGACGACGATGACAATGATCGTAATGGAAGAATTGGTCATTTTGGTATAAGAGACAAAAGTCACGATGACCGAAATGGCAGAAATGGTCATTTTGGCGTAAAAGACAGAAGTTACGATGATCGCCGCAATGGTAGAAATGGTCATTTTGGTTTGCGAGAGGACAGAGACGATGACCGTATAGGCAGAATTGGTAATTTTGGGATGAATATTCACAATACGGTTGATCGCAATGGAGGAAATGATTATTTTGGCTCGGGGACCAATAGCAAAGATGATTCTAATGGCAGAAATGGTAATTACGGCGTGAGAGGCTACAATAACAATGATGGTAATACCATGAATAATTATTCAGGCTCGAGAGACGGGGCCAATTATCCCAATGTAAGAAATAGTACTGTCGTTGTGAATGACTATGATAACAATGATCGCAATGGTATAAATGCTTATATTGGCTCAAGAGACAGCAGTGACGATTATCTTAATGGCAGAAATGGTAATTACGGTGTGGGAGACTACAATAACAATAATAGAAATGGTAGAAATGGTCATTTTGGCTTGAGAGACAGCAGTGACGATTATCGTAATGGCAGAAGTGGTAATTATGGCGTGCGAGACTACAATATCAATGATCGCAATGACAGAAATACTTATTTAGGCTCAAAAGACAACGGTGCAGATTATCGCAATGTAAGAAATGGTACTGTCGGCGTAAATGACTATCATAACAATGGGCGCAATGGTCATTTTGGCTCGAGAGACAGAAGTGACGATTATCTTAATGGCAAAAATGGTAATTTCGGCGTGAGAGACTACAATAATATTGATCGCAATGGCAGAAATAATTATTTAGGCTCCAGAGACGACAGTGACGATTATCGCAATGGCAGAAATGACCGGCGAATCTATGATGATGCTAATCGCAATGACATAAATGGTCGAACTCGCTCCAGACACTACAATAATGGTGATGATGAATATGATCGAAATAGAAACCATGGCCGTTTAGATAATACAATCTACGAGAACAGTTATCATGATCGCAAAAATGGTCGTTCAGGCTTGATAAACAATGATGATGATCGCAATGGTATGATTGGTCGTTCCGGCTGGATAAACTACGATAACCATAACGGCAGATTCGGTGATTCTGGCCATAGAAATTACAATGGCGTTAACCGCAATGACACTGGCAGAACCCGTCGTTTCGGTGGGATTGCTTATAGAAATGATAATGGCAATGGCAAAAATGGTGATTCTGGTTTGCTAAACTTTAATTACGATAATCGTGTAGGACGGCCAGGTCGCATTGATAATGGTGACAGATCTCGGAGAAACCTTGCAGCCCTTGATAAAGATGATTCTAATAGCGACAATGGTATTAGCTCCAGTGTAAGAAATGGTGAGGGCTTATATAACGATAACGACAATTATCTTAATGGCCTACATTACGAAATATATCCTTATAGATTTGGCAAAAGCAATAATGGCATAAATAGTCGTGCAAATGACAGATTTGGCGATCGACATGGTGATATATTTGGCAATAAATTCCATGGAAGATTGAACAATCTATTCAATGGCGGAATTGGCCACTGGTTTAACGGTGTACGAAGGCGATCATTTGATAGAGATGATAAAGATTGATTTTGTGCCTGTGCATCAACTCACACGTGTATATCATATGTGAGTTGATATTCATTATGTGTTAAAAGTGTCTAAAATGAAATTATTTGGAAGTAAACTTTTATGAAAACATTTACAATCGAAAAACGAGGAAAAAATCTATGATGATGAGCTTTATTATTTAAGATTTAACAAAAGAACAATTTAATTTATTGTTTTATCTTAATAATATTACAAGTACGAAATAAGACTAGTTTCGATTTACACCTAAAGCTTGGAAAACTTTTAAAAAGAATGTTTTATTTAACAATATATTGTATGTGAATAATTATAAATGTAAGATGGTAATATTGTATAATGTTTTTGCACTGCTTCAGAGCTAAAGCTTGTCTTTCTCCTCAAGGAAATGAACAAGTAGATTTTATTGCACGCTTTATCGAAATTTGACAAAATATATGTACTAAATTATATGTAAAAATATACTCTATGTACTTCATTAATGGCAATAAATGTTTGAAATGCTTTTTGAAATATGTCAAACTTTGTTACGTTTTCAATTTGCTTTTATGTTGAATAAAGATAAAAAAATAATTTCGTCCTCTGCAAAGTCATCAAGAAACACCTATGTCCTAATATAATCCGTACAAAAGGTCAAAGAGCCTTAAACAGTGAAATTTGAAATTCTTACATAGCGACTGAAGTAATTAAAATATAAAACTCTGTAAAGGGCAATAAAGAAACATACTAGTACTCAGAATTCAATTGAACATCGATTTTCTTGTTCGATTCTTAGCCTGATTTGTGTGAAATGCGTTCTAAATCGTTTTGCACAATAAAAATGATATCTCTGGAAAACGGAATGATCTGAAAATTTGCACACAGGTTTTTGGACCAAACTTATATCAAGTGATATATAAAGCTCGTAAAAAATACTTCCAGTCCCGTCATGTCAAAAAACTGCGTGGAGTCCCAAAAGCATATATAAATTATATATCTATATAAACAAATCAAAACTTAAACTTGTCTGCAAAGTTTTAAGACTTACTAAAGTTTCTGAAGAATGATATAAAGCATTTTCATTACATATATTACCTTATATGTTAACGAAATACACTTTTCCGAGGAAGATTTACACTTAAGTTTAATAAAACATTTTCAGTTAACTGTCTTTCAAAACAAAGATGATTTGTCTTTTCCTTTAAAATGTGTTTTCTGGAATGAAACATCCTACAACAACAAAGTGTAAAAGCATGCCTAGAAAATATGTAAGTATTTCGCTTCAAGCTAGATGTATCCTTTGTAAACTATGTTTTTAATTAATAGAATTTGTCATTGTTTTGGTCTTTAAAAACAATAGTGTTAATGCTCATATTATTGTCAAACAAATCACATCACTCCATAAGAAGATTTCTATATTTAGTAATCACTAACTCCTTCATCCGTATCAACGTTCTCTTAAGTCATTTTTGAATCTGCAATGAAAAATATCTTCATTCGAGATAACAATTTTAGAAGAAATTAAACAATATGTTTTTAATTTTAACGAACGTGAAGTTTTTCTAGTTGTTTAGTTATCACATATTAAACTTCCTTGCAATACATTTATTCTATCTTATAACACTGCTAACCTATTTCCGCCATTCATAAATACATTGAATATTAGGTAGGTCGAACTTTTCCGAAAGTAATTAAACTTGTAAATATGGTGGAACCGATATTAAAATACGATAACTACAGCTTAAACATCTGGCCAAATCAACATTACTTGTAACAGTAATTGTAATTACACCCTTTTAAATCATTGAATATTATGGTAGGAGAATTTTAATCAAGCCTGTAAGATTTTCAATACTTTGCCATGTTTTACTAAATTGTATATAGTTTTCTTTTTGTCTGCCAGACTACAAACACATTCAGTTGGACAATCAATGTGATTTGACACTGAAAAGCAACAACAACGTTCTTGACCAAAATGCATGTAATTGTTGCAAATGACAACAATTTCAACCAGTATACTCGTAACAGCTTTGAGTTGTTAGATAGAATAATATACAATTGAAAAAGGTTTCTTGCGGAGAGAAAATTTTAAAACTTCAAACATAAAAGACCCATTTGAATTAACAGACCCATTTGGGGCATGTTTCAGCTTTCATCACTTTTTTTTTCTAGAAAAGTATATTTCATTTAAAATACATTTTTACAAACGCATGAGCGCAAAATAATATCCCCTTTTCACAGGATCAAGAATGGCACATCTGTTTCAACATTTGTGGGTTCAGAACATCTTCAAATATATATTATCAAGATTAAAGATGAAAGAATTTGCCGTTGGACTTTATGCTACAACAGATTGACGTCGATAATATAGAAATTTGTTCATCTGGAGTTTTTAAACATTAAAATATAAATCATATACGTGCTACTTTTTATTAGAAGACATATCCTGTCTTTTATTTATCTTGGATAATTGCTTGTTAACAAATGTTCATATTAATACAAATTCACTGATGCATGTATCGGGTTTTCAGCGTCAGACCTCATTCATGCTTCATCAAATATAATTTTATGAATAAATTAATCACGCATGAATAATACTAAATTGGTTGACCAATCATGTTCAATTTCCATTTAAAAAGTCACGTGACCCTACATTTCTGAAAAGGTCTTTACATTCAAATATTTTGTGGGGAATAATACAAATATGAAAACAGATACATTTATTTCGTATATTCACGTTATCTGTGCTGTCATGGCATGTATACATTTGTATTTTAATGCCTTTCTTAAACTAATGAAAAGAATTTTTAAATGATTATACAGTATTTAGCTCTTCATTTCTTAAATTTATTGCATGATATAAATATTTATCAATAGATATTACAAATGAAGTAATCTAATTACAAGTGTATTTGCAATTCATTACTCTACTGTTTATTTGTTTTGTTGTACTTTGTATTTTTGCCTGAGACCTATGTTACTAGAAATAAACTGAAACAAACTGAAACAAACTTGACCAAAAGCTATCATATATTGATGCATTCAAATTTTTGCTTTGAGACCAATTAATCTTTCTTAAATTGCAAAATTGTCACAAAGTGCATTTCCGTTCAGAAACAAATAGAATTCTGATAAGTCGATTTGCATTAAAATCAATTCAGAGATAAAATAAAAATATGAGAAATGCAAGGTTAACAAAATGCATGTGTGCTGCGCTATTCATCATGATAATTGTTTAACACTTAACACTATGAGATTCGTTACAAAATCTCATTAAGGTAAAATTGATATGGTGTGAGCAAGCATTGCTCCGTGCTGCTAAACATACAAATTAAACCAAACTAAAATAGAGTGTGTGTGTGTGTGTGTGTGTTTGCGTTTGTTTACCCTCGCCACCGGAAAGAGACCATATGGGCGAGCATATACGTATTTCATTTATAACCTAATAATAGGGGAGCTGATGTTTCATTACTTATTGTTATATCCGTACATGTGTTATGTGCATACCATATCCCCGATGACAGGGTAGTCTCTACGTACAACCTCTGCCATGGGAGGAAGATGGGGCAATCCCATTCTAAGTTTAAAGTTTCTAAAATTTAATTATTAAAAATGCACTTATTTTAAAAATGGCCAAGACGTTTATAGAGGTTACCGTCTTTTATAACAGGTCAATTTAATAAGGAGAAAATTTCAATATTTACATAAGAAAATTACAGAATTCGCATACTTACATGCGATAAAGGCATGTCAGGAACCTTTTTTGACCAATGCAATGTGGGCTTACTGTGGTTTATATTAATTTCTATATTAAATGTTATAAACCGAATACATTGGGATGCATATGATTAATTACATGTTTGTAATTAGCAGAATTTGTTATAAATTTTGTAAATTTTGTAAGTTCTACCGAACACCCGCTTTATAAGAGTAATTTTGATTCGTTAAGAGATGATTGCCTCTTTTGTCCTCATTGGTCTAAAATTCGTTGCTTACAAAATAAGGTGGTCAATCCGATTTTGTTAAAATTTCTGCAAGTTTAGAGTTGACCTATTTTGACAAGTTTGTCGCGCGGACCGGATAGAAATTCAGCAGGTGCCCGTTGCATTCCAATGTATACGTGTTTTTACCAACTTTGATTCTAAAATAAAACAAATATCATAGTTTAAACGTGGTGGAAAAGGCCTTATCTATTAATCACTGTCTCATTGTATATAAATTATTATGCATTTAGATATCACACATAATAATTAATCTTCTATTACTTAAACAATTCATAGAAGAATACGAAAAAATACTAAGTCCCAAATATGGCTAATAATAATAACTCAAGTTGGTTAAAATAGAGTGTTGTTATGAATCACATGAACTTGTACATGTCACGGTTCAGTGCTTCTCACGTTACCACCGTTAGTAGTATGATATGATGATTTCATATATGGATTGAGCTTCTATATTTTATAATTAATGACTTAGTGCTAAAATACATTTCGTTACAAATCAACAGTCAACCTAAGGGGACAAACGGTGTTGGCTGTAGTCGGAACCGGCAATTTAATTGAAAGGGAACAAAATTACACAGTATTGTAAAAATGTTAAACTCGACTGAAACCAATTTTAAGGTCAATATATCTACGGAGAAAGTGATTTATTTATCACAAAGTACATACACAGTGTTAATGCAGCGCTCCATAAAATTGCCAACATAATTGAGATTCATACTTGTTAAGAATCGATTCAATCGAAAGAAGATTTTCGTAACATAATTGTTATCATTTACATTTGTTTAAATATTCATATATGCAGCATTTCTATTAATATTTATAGATGTAGCAATAATATTATTGTTATTTCTTTTTACATTTATGATATTACTAAAAGATGTAACATTTATATTTTTAGGATAGCCATTTAATGATTAGTAATGTTTGATTGTATAGCAGAAGATGTCAAAAATAATAATAAGGAATAAGAGTCCATGTATTAATGTATTATGTCACAGGTAAAGTCAATTATACGCTGAT